ACAACAACAGCATATTCAACTGAGCTGGGAATACACATTGTTGCAAAATGGAATACATATTGCAATACAGGTAGTACTCAACTTATGACCACAATTGAATCCAAAATTTCTGTGGTTAAGTGAGACATTTGTTAAGTGAGCTTTGTCCCACTTTATGACCTTTCTTGCCATGGTTGTTAAGTGAATCACTGCAGTAGTTAAGTTAGTAACCCAGTGGATCTGGTGTCAGGAGTCCAACAAATCATAAGTCTCTAGCTGCACCTCAGAGAAAAGAAAATTGATTTATTAGAAGTGGACATGTTGGTGTTAGTTGGATGCAGCCAATACTAAAATACATCATTCATTTCCCCCTTGACCCTGGTCTTCCCCCCCACCTCCTGGATGTGTATTCTCCAATGGGACACGTCCATCCCCAGGAGTCATCAACCATGCTCTCCAATAATTTTCTTGCACTGCAACAACTTTGGGCTGCCAGAGTGATTATCTAGGCACTTAAGGAATGCACTATTTTCCCCCACTCCCTTTTTCTGGCAGCTAAAAAGACCACAGGAGTATCTTTTTAGTTGACAACTGGCTTCCCCATTGATTTTGCTTGTCCCAAAACAGAAGCATTTATAATACATCAGATGACTCCTGAGACACTACAACCGTCATAAATATGAACCAATTGCCAAGCATCTGAATTTTGATCACAAGATCTTGGGGTTGCTAAAAAGGCCGTAACTGTGAAAAATGGTCATAAGTCCATTTTTCTACTTTCTCCTGATCATTGTAATTTTGAACAGTCACTAAAGAAACGTGGTAAGTCGAAGATTACCTGTTCATATTAATCAATATTTTATTCTTTTCAGCCCACCAGAATGTTGGAAAGAAATGATGTAAAAGAGTTTAGGATTTTGTCCATACTTCTGCCTGCAATAGAGATAAAAAAAAAACTACCCACATAAGATTCACTTCCTCTCTAGTACCTTGAGTCCTCCAGTGCATCTAAATCTGATTGCTCCATTCTAAGCTCCACCCCCTACTTTCTCCTGGTCATGTGATCCAGAACAGAGTGCATGTAGCTCACGCTGTGTTTCCCAGTTCACACTCAATCAAGAACGGACACCAGGTTCAGGCACATACGCAAAGGCAACCGGATTAGATCGGACCAAGTACGGTATAGCAACGCATGGCAGATCCTCCCACTTCTTGTTATGGAGTAAAAGGGAAAACTGAGGAAAGAAAGAACTGTACTATGGGTGTGACAAGCCTAAGGAAAGTTCAGAGTCCAGGAAAACATTTGTCAAGAGTGGCATGTTTGTTTAGTACCAGGGAAAGCAAGGATTAAAAGCCTACAGATAGCCTGCAATATTAACTCAATCTTTTTATCACCTATCTTAAATTATTTATCAAAAGTTAATTTGATTCCTTGTTTAAACATTAGCAAAGTGAGTTGGCTGCTCTATACCTTGCCCACATTCCACCTAGTTACATTGCATCAGATACAAAGCAAAAAAAGGAGACAACACAAGAAAGTGGTAGTAAAACTAATAAATCTTTTATAGACTCTCTCTCTCTTTAGTATATATACACACACATACGCGCACACACACATTATTTGTGTATTTCTCTTAAATAAATCAAGTCTATGAAGTTGGTATAAATTGAAGTCTTAGAAGTTTTAAAGGGCTATTTTGCAGATAAAAAAAACCTTTATTTGACAGGGAAGGTAAAGAGGTCAATGACTTTCCAACATGACTGATATTTTTGTTTCACCATCTTTCTCTGACTTATAAGATGAGTGAGATGTAACATAGAACCATAAATTCAGCCAAATATTGTTGATAAAACAGGAAAAATTGGGAATGCAAAGAACATGCAACCCAGTTTAGAAGGCCAACCCAGAGTTCTATAATTGGTCAAATCCAAGTGACTCTACAGCTAGGATGATTCTAATTTAATACTTCAAAGAAATATTTTCATTTTCTTAGGGGTTGCTGAAGTTGCTGAAGCTAGCAAGAACACAATGAGATATGTAGATAAGCTAGAACTTTTACAAGGGACGAAGCATGCCAAGTTCATAGAAGAAAATACAGAGATTTTGAAACTACATGATTTTAAAATATTATTCTTAATGGAAGTAGAATCATTTTGGATTTACAGAGCCTTATGGTCAATTTATCTCTTGGTATCCCAAAAAGTACATGTTATTCTTGCACATTTTCTTTGATTGACATATGCTCTTTATGTTTCTATATGTTTATTATATAGAAAGTCTCTCTCTCTCTCCCTCTCCCCCTCTGTCCCTCCCTCTCCCTCTCAACCTACCCCTACCCCCCCTCTCTCTGAACTTAAAGATGAATAACTTTAACCAACATGACTCAGCAGGACTGAGGAAATAATCAAAGATATGTAAAGATTCAGCCAGACCATGAGTTCAGTGCCCCAGGATGCAATTAAAATGGTCCCGGAGATTTAGAATAAGATTCCCTGACCATATTTTATCCTCACCAAGTTTTATCATTCTCAAGCTTTAAACCTGAAACTTCCTCATGTTTTTCAAACCTTTTCCTCAAAATAATTTGAACCAAAATAAAAATAAAGTAGCTCTTGCCTTGTCTTCGTTGCTTGCAGTGGCACCTGCAGCAAACCACAATGATGTCAAAGTAATAACGTACATATATGCGCATAATGATGTCATCCTCCTAATGTCTGATGCAAGTACATGTCATTGCATTTGCATGATGATGTTGTCATTTATCTGTCATCACTTCCCCCCTCTTGCCTTAGTGCAGACACCCCAAAAACCCTGGGTCACTTCTTTTTAAATATAAATTATCTGATTTCTTACTTGCTCATCTTTCTGCAATGTGCAATGTTATAAATCTAAATAACTTTACAGCACAGACATGAAAACCAGGGAGAAGATAGCTTTTTAATTAGTTGTATTTGTTCTCTCAGCTGTGAAGCACAAAACCAATATTTCTTGTATTTTTGTCTCATTTGTATCTGAATTCATGATGTGTTAAAGAGCAAACAAATAAACACAACACTGTCATTCAACCAGGGTTTTAAAAATGCACTTTCAGGATGATATTATTGGGATGGGGGGGGAAAGTTACATTGCCTTTAACAAGTGGCACACTACCCTGTTAGCTCACAACAGTTGCATCATAGACAGCTTAGGGATTAGAAGTAGGTATACTAAATGTCATGCCAGTCAATTTTTTTGTTGATTTAAGAATGGAGGACAGGAAAGGCCCTGTGGTGTGTAACAGGAATGAAGATTATTAATGGCTGGTCATTTTTTTCTAGTATTTTATTTCCTAAAGGTCACTTAGCAATGCAGTAGGGCAGCTAACACCTCCTTCCTGTCTTCTATTTTTCTACAACTAGAGACTCTTTTAATGCAGGAATTCTGGGAGTTGAAGTCCACAAGTCTTAAAGTTGCAAGGTTGGAGACCCCTGTTTTAAAGGCTGAGTAGCATGCTTTTCTTTCTTTTTTTAATTTTTGAGAGCTACAGTACCTGGTAGTGACATATTGATACTTCTGGAGAAGGAGGGACCAGTTTCATTTCATGCATTCATTCGTTTGTTTGTTCATCCATTCATTTTTGTATTTTGGAGGTGGTTAAGGCAAAAAGATCTACAGCATAGCAAAAGCTAAACAGGCTTACTTTAAGTCACTTCCATCTTGTTTTAAAAGATGGAAATGTAAAGCTGTCCAAAATCTTAACAGATAATCAGAATTGGAAGGGACCTTGTAGGTCATCTAGTCCAACCCCCTGCCCAAGCAGGAGACCCTATACCATTTTTGACAAATGGCAGTCTAATCTCTTCTTGAAAGTCTCAAGTGATGGCACTCCCACAACTTCCCAGGTTTCTTTATCAATTCCTTTATCAGTGACAAGCAGGGTGGACTCTGGAAGGCATCAGAAATAGGGGATTTATGTCAAATAAGAGAACTGTGGGAAAAGGGATGGCTTTGATTCTAGTGTGATGGGTGGACTTAATGACTCTTCAGTCCTAAACTGAATAATTTAGAATACAGAAGAATCCTGAACTATACATTACAGTGCTATACTGTATCAAGTTTCTCCAATCCATTCACACCGACAGTGCAGTTATAAATAAAAGTAGCACCGACTGAAGGGAGGAGGCACTTAGTCATACCATGACCAAGCCTACTCAGCTACCTTCGTAAACAGAACACAACTGTTACCATAGTTAGTCAGGCAGCATAGCAGGCTAGCCAGATCCCACTCCTTTCCTTGCGCGTGTTTCCACAGCAGCTAACCTTGTAAGAGTCACCGCTGCTCTCCTCTCCCGATGCTTGTGTGCAATCCTGCTCAACAGAACCCACAACCTGAAGTCTCTCATTCAGAGTTTCTCAACCTCAGCCACTTTAAGCCGCGAGGGTTTCATGCTGGCTGGGGAATTCTGGGAGTTGAAGTCCACACCGCTTAAAGTTTGCTGAGGGGGTTGAGAAACGCTCCTCTCCTTCAGGGAAGCGAACGTGCCGTTTTCATTCACTGAAAACGTCCTACAGAAGTTCCCACTGGATTCCTTTCTGCTGCATAAGTTTGCAGTGAGACAATAAGGGATGCTGACCATCGGCTTGGCTCTTGGCCACCACTAACGCCGGGAGGCTCCCCAAGCTCCCGCCTCAATGCTGCACCAGCTGGAACAGCATCGGAATCCGAAACTGATACGAGTCATGTGGGTGTTCCGGGACGAATCTCGAGATCCTGCATTTAAAAGCCACGGAATAATCCAAGAGGCAGACCGATGAATGGGGGGAACCGCTCCACTTTTGCCCAATTCAGGATCATTCGTGGGTGTTGGGCGGGTGTTTTTTTTTTTTTCCCCGCCCTTGCCTGCGCGCGTTTTTGTCCCCCCTCCCTCCCCCTTCTCGTTTGGTGAGCAAGCTCCCCGCTGGAACCAGTTCAGCAGCTTCTGGTGACGCGCGTCCCGTTGCCGGTTACCTGAGCTGGCCACGTGAGCGCCACATCATCGGGGATTTTGATAGTCGCGGAAAGAAGGAACCAGGAAAAGAGCCTGGTCCGAGACTGAGGAGAAAGGGACCTCGGCTTTGGGGCTGAGGTCGCGTGGGCCAGCGAGCCCGGGCCACTCTCCGTGGGTTGTCCCCCCCCCCTCCAGGCCCCTGCGCTGAGCCGCCCGAGTCACTCAGGGCTCCGGGCAGGGCAGCAGCGGTGGCGGGCTGGCGCTCGGAAGGAGTGCGAGGCGCTGGCGGGGGAAGATGCTGCAGTCTCTAGCGGGCAGCTCGTGCGTGGAGAGGCACCGCTCCGCCTGGTGCTTCGGCTTGCTGGTGCTGGGCTACCTGCTGTACTTGATCTTCGGCGCCGTGGTCTTCTCGTCGGTCGAGCTGCCCTACGAAGACCTCCTGCGCCAGGAGCTGCGCAAACTGAAGCAGCGCTTCGTGGAGGAGCACCAGTGCCTCTCGGAGCAGCAGCTCGAGAGCTTTTTGGCGCGCGTCCTGCAGGCCAGCAACTACGGCGTCTCGGTGCTGAGCAACGCTTCGGACAGCTGGAACTGGGACTTCACCTCGGCGCTTTTCTTCGCCAGCACGGTGCTCTCCACCACAGGTAAGCAGGGGGCGGCAAGCGCGGGCCTTAGCCCGGGCCTGGCCTGGCCTTTGCATTGGGAACTTCCTTCCTAGGCCAGCCACGGGCCTGCCAAACCGCGCGGAAAGGTTGAGTCCGCAACGGTGGGAGAAAGTGGCGGCTTCCCTCCTCCTCCTCCTCTTCCTCTCCCCCACCACGCACCCCTTTCCAATGGAGAAAGAGGTGGGTCGGTTAGGAAAATGTAGAAGGCAGAGACCGAGAGTGTTTCTTGTGGGATTGCATTGCGGCTGTTTGGTTTGCAAAAAAAAAAAAAGGGTCTGCCTTCCCACAACACGCTTAACACCCTTACTGAAATAATACGCGCCTGGAGTCGTTTGACGCATTGAACCATAAAATAGCAAAAACGGGCTGCGTTAACAAAGTGTCCCACAAAGAAACCCCAACCGGGGTTGATGCTTTGTTACCCAAGAATTGCAGGTATGGTGGGGTGCAAATGCAGCCGCTTAAATCTTGGCTTGGTTGAGCGAGGTCTGTGATCACAGTCAGGGTCTTTCCATCTTATAAAGGGGCATATTTGTAGCTCTGGGTTGAAATGAGGGGTGCTTGGTGCTCTCTGAGCTTGGTTGCTTTCTTGCAGACATTACCCAAACTAGGTATCATCATCAGTGCTAGTGATGCAGTAGCCTTGATGAAGCGTCTTCATGAAAACCAAGCTCAGACAGCACCCAAGGACAGCACCCTCTTTCCCCTTTTATCCCCTTCAGGCATTTCCATGTTTCTCTCCAGTCCTTTTTTGTCCACATAGCTAACACTTTCAAAACAGAGCACTACAGAACAGAGGACTTTGAAGACAAGGTGCTCATGTCTTTTGTGAAGTGGTAATCCAACTGCAGAGTTTTCTTTCTTTTTCTCATCATTGTGTCATCCTGGGCTCCCGTCCCTTTCCCCCAGTTAATAGGGCCAGTACCTCTTCCTTTAGTAATAAAATGCTGGGATTGGATCCTGCTTGCAATATAAGAAAGAAGCCAGCCCAAGAAACAATCCTAGCTGGGTTCATACATTACATTTCAGTTGGATTTTATTGTACAGTCTAAGTAGTGCTAGGCCCGTCAAAACTGGCCATCTGGTTTTAAAAATGGTAAATGTATATAGGTGCACACTTTGAAAGCATGCTTTTTCACCAATGCTATTACAATGTATTTTTGTTTAACTGTGCTTGTAGGGTCATAAAACAGTTTTACATATTCCCAGGGAGAACCTGTTTCTATAAATGAATATGCTTTCACTTTTAGACTGAAGTCACATGCGATGCTAAGTCATGTAAATTGCTTAGCTTTGACCGTTTTACTTTGTTGTTTGAATCCAAATACTTATATATTTATTATTAGATATATATTTAGGTATCTATTAGATTTGTATCCCACTTTTCATTCAGGAATTCAAGCAGGGGCACACAGTCGTCTTCCTACTTTTTCTTCACTTCAACATTCTTGTGAGGTTAGGCTGGGAAAAAAATGACTGGCTGAGAGAGACTAAAAGCTGGGTGTGTCTACTTCTGTTGAAAAATGTATTATGTGTCAACCAAGTGTGTGACTTTTGGCCAGAATAGTTTTTATCAAGCCAGCCCATTCTGCCTTGTTTAACAGTCTGAGCTTAAAACAAGCCATAGTTTCACGTACATGATATCTTCGTTGCATTCATGAAAATCTTGTACTGTCAACATTGTAAATTATTACTCTATACAGGTCCTGCAATAGTTATTTTTTGAAGAATGAAATTCTGATGAGTGAGAATGTCATTTTGTTGCTTTGATAATGAATAATCTCTGCAGTAGCATGTCTGGTAAACGTGACCTTATGCATCCATCCATCATTAATATTATTATCATTGACCAGTTCAATAACCATCAGATTTGTCACTCATGGTTTGCCTAGAGAAGTGTGTCAAACATTATGTGTAGCAACAGAGAAGCCTTTGGGGTATCTTTAGTTAAAATGCCCTTTTAAACCAGTAGAACTTGAAAATGAAGAAGTTGCTCATGCCTTCTCAAATGCAGGGAGCACATCCCACTGCTAAAGAGAAGGTTGAGAAGATGCCACTTTCTTGTTGTGTTTCTCTTTCCAATTTGAATAAGGTGACCTGGTAAGGACAAGATGGTATTGTATTTCTTGATATAATGGAAAAAACGATTGCTCTCATATGACCGAGGAAGGGAAAGCACACCCATAACTAATTCATCATTTAGCTTGTGTCCCTGCAGCTAATTCATTGTGTACCAAAATGTATGTTATCTAAAGTTTCTAAATCTTCCAGTTAAGTATGAATCCTTTAATGCATTTTTTCCCTTAGTTCTAAATTAAGATCCTTTTATGGATAGGATATATTGCCCTTAAATTGTTTAGAGGTCTTGCTGATTCAGCAGTTAAAATTGCATAAAGTGGTATGAGGTACTGTCAATGTGATATTCAGTATATAACCGTATTCTGATTGGTTTGGATGACATGAATGATAATGAAACTTTCGTATTAACCATTACTATTCTGAAAATTGCCATGGTATTATGTGTCCTTTTGGAAGGTGATATTTTTGATGGACAGATTTTATGTTTTTATTAGGATTGTGTGTGCTCAAAAAAAAGACATACGATTCAGACTTTGCATAAACAACTAAAATTATTAAAGCAGCTGCATCTTTTTTTCAAGCTTGCTATAAACAGCGTATTGTTCATGAGACATTTTTCATGAAAAATCTAATACGCTTTTTCCCAATCATTTTTGAATTTTAACTATGACAATCATAGTTAAGAGCCATTGATGGGGTGATTAAAGCACCAGGCTAGAAACTGGGAGACCATAAGTTCTAGACCTGCCTTTGGTACAAAGCCAGCTGGGTGACCTTGGGCCAGGCCCACAGCTGAGGAGACAGGCAATAGGACACTACAGTACTTCTGAAATCTTGCCAAGATAACTACAAGGAATTTTCCAAGCAGTCACCAGGAGTCAATTATAACTCAAAGTGCCTCCCCCAAAAGAGCATTGGACCACCTGGATTCCATTGCTGTAGAAGATAATGATGACGACAGTGACAAAATATTTTGAACTGTTCAACAAACTCAAAATTGTGAATCAAGAGCATGGGCTTCTTGTCATCCAAAATGATTTAAGCTAATCGTAGAACATTTCCACAACAGTCTGACAGTTTCACATCATTGTGATGCTATATAGTCCACCAGCACCAGAGATTTGTGGCCGGATAGAACTATAAATTATTTGCATAGAAAGTCTCTGGATCTCATGTGATATGAGTGAAATTTTCTCATGCAACAGAAGCTTCCCTTCCGATCCCACCCCAGCTGTAACGTATAAAACTAGGTTAGATTCAATGGCTTTTCTTGAAGCAACCAAGTGGTTATGTTCCACTTTGCGTATCTATGATGCTGTTTTATACACAGTTTTCTGACTGTCGTTGATTGATGGTTTCACACCTTTATGTTCTTTTTATTAATGTCTATTTAATACAACAGCCAGTTTGGCATAGTGGCTAGGGCATCAGGGCTAGAAACTGAAGAAAAGTGATTTCTAGTCCCACCTTGGCAAAAATCAGCTAGGTGATCTTGTGCCAGTTACTTTCTCACAGCCCTAGGAAGAAGGCAATGGCAAACCACTTCTGAGAAACCTTGACCAAAAAACCCTGCAGGACCTATCCAGGCAGTCTCCTAGAATTAGACACAATTGAATAGAAGAAAAATAATAATAAAAATTGGCAAAGTTTAAAATAGTAAAAGGAAAAAAAATGAATTTAAGAAACAACCTGGTAAAATTATAATATATGGAACACCTTCATTGGATATTTAAAAAGAAAAATATCATTTGTACCAAACAGGACTGTTCGTCATACTGTTTCAAAAGAAAGAGTAGGGGAAGTTATAATCAGAACATTAATTAAATGTGTAGAAAAGGGAGTCTTTGAAATATTTTAACAAGCTTTCTTTTCATGAACATGAGAAAGATGCTTAAAAATAAAAGAAACTATGATACAAAAATATCTCAATTGAGAATAATTGACTTTCAAATTTCACTTAGCAAGACTTTTGATGTTCTAAAAGGAACAGTCTTAAAAAGAAACTCATATTCTCCATTGCATTTCTATTTATAATAGGACCTATAGTTTATAAACGTGGGAATTGAGTTTCTAAGAAATAATTCTTCAAATTCTGTAATTAAATGTGATGGATAACTATTTTATTGCAGTGACTTATATATTTGTACTGACCGTAGTTATAAGTAAACTCTTAAGCACAATGCTTAATCTGGTAGCTGTTTTTAATTAAAAATAATAAATATTCCACAATGGACTAGATAGAGGTTAATGAGCTGAAGTAATGCTATAAATAGGTAACTCCCAAGGAAGTGTCCTTGATGACTGTGAGAATCCATCCATAGATGATTTGCAGGCCATAACCTACCCCTTACAAGAAAAGCTGAGCTCTGATGATTTGCAGGTAGGATTAGCATATGTATATGTATATGCTAAGATGTCATATTATGGTATGCCAATAAAGGTGATCCAAAGTATTACATAGTGCTAGATTCTACAGCGGAACCTCTGTCTGCCATTGCCTATCAATTTATATTACATCCCTTTCTGAACTTGGAATGTGCAAATTGTGATTCTTCAGGTAGCGAAGGAGGCACAGTCTACTTCTCAAGGCATTCAGGTGAGGACACTTCTCTTTGACCATTAGCCTTACTTTGAAGAAAGTGGTTTTTGCTTGTGCATTCCTTATGGTACAGAAGTCACCTCTGCTGTTGACGCCAAACAACATATCAGGTCCATTCTGCTGCTCACCAGGGAGATGGGAGGTTTTGTATCCCAGTTTTGTCTCAGTTTCATTAACATAAAGTGTCCCTTCAAAGCTGAACACATCTCTCTTCTCAGTCCAATTTAAGGAGCTGGTGTTGGGTTTAAATCACTTACCAGTTTGAGACTCCAATATAAGGAGTGCGTCTTCCCATATTAAT